GGCTGACTTCCAGGTAGGAACGTGTTCCCCACAAGCTGGTGAGATTCCTCAGCTGTCCGGGGCTCCTCCGGCTCACTGCGGGCCTGGCCCTACATTTAGAAACCCTGATCCTAAATGTCTCTCTCCTTTTCTAACCAAGTATCTGGAGCTCAAGATACTTTGGAGCTCAAGGTGGCAATACTCTCGCCTCTAAGAATTACGGAAAGCGTCCCCCAGGTGGTGAAGACCACAGTCTCCTACGAGCATAGATCTCAGAAGATGCAAGCCCACCTCTTGTAAACAGTACCAGTTCAACGTCTGGGAATTGCCCACACACTCCTACCAGCATGGATCAGAGATGATCCAAGTGATGTCCTCCAAATAGGACTGGTTAAGCTCTATGCTAACCCACAGTCTCCTGCTGATACAGATCAGAAAGTGAAAACACAGTGGGACCTTAAGGTCCTCAGCCTGCCTTTTGTCTGTGGAAAGCCTTTGTGCCAAAGAATAAACTTTAGTCAGTAGACGTGAGAACAGGCAGAGACCAAGGAAGACAGTCACAGGGGACCAAATAATGACAGGGTAGTCATGCAGTAAATTCAAGCAAATTGAAGGAAAGCTCACAGGCTTTATGGAGAAGGGAATGGCAACCCACTCCAGCATTCCTGCCGGGAGAATCTCATGGACAGAGGAGCCTGGCAGGCTACAGTCCATGGGGTGGCAAAGAGTCGGACACGAATGAAGTGACTGAGTGCCAAAGGCTGTATAGATAATATTCTGAGCCAGGTTTCATGAGCTGTTTTATAGATACTGAAACCCCCACCAGGGGGAAGACATTAACTCCATGATGACCACGCTATAGCCATGCCCTAACCTGCCCTAATTCCCAGAACTGGCCTCTAAGACGTGGAAACCAATCAACCCTGACTGTGCTCTGTTCTGCTAAGTCATCTCAGCCCTGTCTGACCCTTGGCGACCCTCTGGACTGTAGCCCTCCAAACTTCTCTGTCTGTGGCATTCTCCAGGCAAGAATCCTGGAGCGGGTTGCCATGCCCTCCTCCAGGGGATCTTCCCTACCCAGGGATCAAACCCACGTCTCTTATGCGTCCTGCATTGGCAGGTGGGTTCTTCACCGCTAGCACCACTGGCGCTAGTGGGACGGAAAGATGAGCTGTACCGAAAAGAATCAAGATGGTACTGATCAGACCAGCGACGATCAGTTTCAAGATGACCGGCAGGGCTGACTGTGCTGTTTCTGCAAGGAACCGCCCCTCCTTCTGTCTATAAAAGCTTTTATATTCTGACTGTCAGAGGGGAGGGGGGAGCAAGGAGTCAGCCTTTGGACATATGTCCACTCCCCCTCTGGCTAGGAGCATGCCAAATAAAGCAAACTCTTCCTTCCCCCCACCCTGCCCTCTTCAGGGGTCCAGCAACCAGACCCCACGTTTGGTTACGAGATGATCTAAGCCTTCTCTTCCAACGAGGACTCACGCAGCACTAGCAATCCTCACGGGCAAGGGACACTTCCCGAAACAAGTCTGCATTCCCGGCTGTTTGCCCAGCCAGCAGCACCCGCCGTCACCTAAGAGGCAAGCAACTCCTGGGCAGAGAACTCAGTATACTTTTCCCTCCTACAGGTGTCCAGTCCAGCCTAGCAGGGGCCACGTGGTAGATGCTCAATAAATACGTGTAGAACAAATAAGCAGACACGGATACCGAGCAAACAGCTCCAGGGAGACACGAGGGACAGCCACAGAGGCCACGATCCCCAAAGGAGATGAGAGACGGGTTAAAAAAAAAGAAACCCATGGTTTCCTCAGACCCGTTGACTAGATGGATGATTCCGGCATCGAAAGCCTTGTCATTCTCCCTCCTCTGTCGCTGCCTCGAGGCAGAAGGACAGTGATGAGCTGCACAAGAGGAAATGTCCCTTGTGTCTGTCTCAGCAGCAAATCTGATCCCCGGGCCTGCCGCCTCTCAGCATCTGGGTCTGTTTTTTTCTCACTGACCCCTATTTTCTGCCCCTTCCTGTTTATTCCTTCACATAACTGTGTTTCCCCAGCCCCTGAGCCGATATGTTCCTTCCGGCCCCCGTAAGTGGAGGCGGCTGGCTTTACTTAAACGCAGTTCGTCAAGGTTCGGGACGTGATGACATCCGTCTTGAAACAGCCAAGAGCCCCGGACACTTGGTTCTCTACGGTTCTTTCAGGCTCAGTACAAAAGGAAGCGGGAAGGTGGACACACTGCTACGTTTAAGACGCGTAACTAACAAGGACCTACTGAGTAGCATGGACAATTCTGCTCAGTATTATGCAGCCAGCTACATGGGGAAAGCATGTGCAAAAGAACAGATACGTGTATATGCGTCACTGAATCATTTGGCTGAATACCGGAAGCTAAGGTAACACTGTTCATCAGGTATACTTCAACATGAAACAAAAAGCAAAAAAAAAAAATAATAATAATAAAGTAAAAATGGAGATGGGGAGGACCATATCTCTCATTTATGAGATGGCTCAGATTTAAAAGAAATGGTTGGATGGCATCACCAATTCAATGGACATGAGTCTGAGTAGACTCCAGGAGTTGGTGACGGACAGGAAGGCCTGGCGTGCTGCAGTCCGTGGGGTCACAAAGAGTCGGACACGACTGAGCGCCTGAACTGAACTGAACTGACTCAGATTTAAATGCTGCCAGCTGTCTAGTCTCCAACTCATGTCCGACTGTTTGCGACCCCATGGACTGCAGCCTGCCAGGCTCCTCTGTCCCTGGGATTTCCCAGGCAAGTGTACTGGAGTGGGCTGCCATTTTTCCTCCTCCAAAAACGCTGCCAATTAACCTAAAAAAGAGACAGCGTGCCTATGGACATTAGGAGGGATGGACACATGGATGAGTTAGGTAAACAGGGTCCTTCCAAGCCTAGAATTGTGGGCGTGTGGTTTTGCTACATTCATCTTCCAGAAGTTGACAGAAGGAAGTCATACAGACTTAAAGTAGTAAATCTTCCAGAAGTTATCTCAGGGAACTCTTCCAGATTTAAAGTATAAACTTTGCAGGGTAAACCTGGTCTGATTTCTATGGACAAAGGAAGGGTCACAATCTCCCCCTTGAAAAAGAATGGAACAGCTGCTCTGTAAATGCTGTCTTGGGTAAGTCGGCTGGGTGATGAGGATGGGGTCAGGACTGCACTGAAATCCGCTATGAGAATCCCCTGAATTTAAGAATGAGCCATCAGCTGGCAGTGTGGTGACAAGATGCTCTGGGAGAATCTCACATCTGGGAGCAGAACCCAAAGCATGCTAGAGAAAAGGGGAGCTTCATTCCCTCTCTGAAGAGGCACCTGAGAGTCTAACATCAGCATCGACCTCTAAGATATACAATAGGGGTATAATAGGTGCTGGGTTCCCACAGACGCCTAGGCATCTCAGTGATGGTTTTGCTTCAGTCACTGTCGCGTCCGACTCTCTGTGACCCCACAGACTGTAGCGCACCAGGCCTCGCTGTCCATCACCAACTCCTGGAGTTTGCTCAAACTCATGTCCATCAAGTCGGTGATGCCATCCAACCGTCTCATCCTCTGCCGTCCCCTTCTCCTCCCGCCTTCAATCTTTCCCAGCATCAGGGCCTTTTCTAAAGAGTCAGTTCTTTGCATCACGCGTCCAAGGTATTGGAGCTTCAGCTTCAGCATCAAGTCCTTCCAGTGAATCTTCAGGACCGACTTCCTTCAGGATGGACTGGTTGGATCTCCTCGTGTTGTAATTTTACGTTTACGTGTATGAAAACCAGATGCGGGACTATCACTACACGTATGATCCTTGCTTGGCTCTGCTTGGTCCTTCAGGCTCGTTAGAAACGCACCCGTTGGGACTTCCCTGGTGGTTCAGTGGTTAAAAATCTGCCTGGCCATGCAGGAGACGCAGGTTTGATCCCTGGTCTGGGAAGATCCCACTTGCCGTGGATCAAGTGAACCTGTGTGCCTCAGCTATTGAACCTGTGCTCGAGAGCCAAGGAGCCACAATTATTGAGCCCACGGGCCGCAACCAGTGAAGCCTGAGCGCCCTACAGCCGGTGCTCTGCAAGAAGAGAACCCACTGCAATCAGAAGCCTGCAAACTGCGAGCAGAGCGTGGCCCCTGCTCGCCGAAACTAGGGAACGCCCCCGCAAAGCACCAGAGACCCAGCGCCACCAAAAACACATACCTGAACAAAGAAGAATTTCTAATAAAAGGAAATGCACTTTTATATCTGCTGTCGGCAGACCCCAAAGTATCCAGTACATCCTGTCACTGACACAGACGTAAAACACACCTGGTCTGGAAACCACGATGACGTCAATGCATCTGAGCGTTGTCTTAAACATCTACGGCTAGCAGGCGCACACAGAGAATCTGTGACCGAGCAGATGGACAGATCGGCGGGTCGTGACCCGCCCGCTGCCTATGAGGCTCAGCGGACAAGGTCAGGTAGACATGTTAAAGCCACGCAGCACCGGTGCAAAGCTAGAAGACCACAGGCAGGGGAGATGGCATTTCAGGGGCATCGTGGGAGGTGGGTAAGCATTAACCAGGAAGGAAAAAGAAAGTCGTTCTCAGCAGAGGGAACCGCCATCAGGGACAGGCCATGCCGGAGCAGAGGGAGGGGCTGTTGGGCAGAAACTCAGACGGAAGGTGGGACCAGGAGACGCAGCTGGGTGGCTGGCGGAGCGGGAAGAAAGGAGCTTCAGAACCCTGCCAATCACCTGGCACATCCTCTGTCCCCGCAGGAGGAAGGAGCCAGCAAGCGCTGGCATAGAGCTGGGCGACCGCCCTGGTCTGCCGAGACAACTGGGGTAGCCAGCAAGCTCGAGAGAAGAAAGTGGGAAGAGGAGGAAGGGAAGATCAAACCAAGCGCCTCTGGAGGGGCGCCTTGCGAGAGCAATGCCCTCTCGCGGTGTTCTTCTCTTCCCGTGTCCCTCTCTGGTGTCACGTAGCCCTCGAAGCAAGGCAGGGGAAGATACCCGGGAGGAGAGACGCGTCTACTCACTGTTGGGCGGGTTCCAGCGCACAGCGTTCAGATAGGAGTTGCAGTAGTGGAAGAGAAACTCGTGCTCCGATCGCTGGGTCTGCCCCCGCAGCAAGGGCATCAGGTCCCGGCCGTCGATGATCCTGGGGGATGAAGCAGGCGGGGCGTCAGGTGGCCACGTCCGCCGGGAGGGCTCAGGCACCCTGGCGACTGAGCTGTCCCTCGGCACACGAAGGCATGACGGGGCTACAAGGTGGTCGTTCAGCAAGGAACGCTGAGAATACCGACTGACCATCCCCGGGCATCGTATGCCATGTTAGGGAGGCAGGTCAGCTCTGCTCACGCGTGAACTAATTCCACCCTCAAAGCGAGTGGGGACCGGCATCATCCTGGGATCATGATACAGAGACACGGAGTGATTCGCCCAATGTCACGAGTGTCACACGTCCGTGGGGCAGACCCACTCATGGGCATATACTCCGAAAAAATCCCTAATTCCAAAAGGCACAGGCACCCTAGTCTTCACCACAACACTATTTACAATAGCCAGGATGTGCAAGCAACCCAGATGTCCACTGACAGAAAAACTGATAAAGAAGATGTGCTACATATATACAATGGAATATTACTCAGCCATGAAAAAGAACAAAAGTGCATCATTTACAGAGATGTGGACGGACCCAGCGTCTGTCATATAGAGTGAAGTAAGTCAGAAAGAGAAAAACAAATGCTGTATACGAAGGCACATATACGGAAGCGAGAAGGACGGTACTGATGAACCTGTGTGCAAAGCGGAAACAGAGGTGCAGACATACAAAACAGACTTGTGGACATGGGAGTGGAAGAGGAGGGTGGGACGACTTTCTACTAGTTCTGCACCCAGTTTTCTGCTTATTGCCTTGGCCGTTGATTCACAAACTCCAGATCTGTTGAAAATAAGAGTTTCTGACAATCTGTGTGTAAGAAAAAGATAATATATATAGCATGGGGCAACTGAGAACTCGATAGACTTCAATGAAAACAAAGTTCTAAGTCCCAATGAAGTGAACAGCAAATAATAATGATGACGATATTAAATATCCTGAGGATGGAAATATACTCACACACATTTACATACTATATATACACATGACACATATGTTTATGGTCTCGAGGGTAAATATATCTCTCCAATGATTGTGCCAAAAGGTGGAACTTACCAGATAGCAAGTGATAACGGTATAGAGTGGGTGATGAGCAAAATAAGACTATATGGAGGTTTGCTGTTTAGTCGATGGGTCATGTCTGACTCTCTGCGACCCCATGGACTGTGGCCTGCCAGGCTCCTCTGTCCATGGGATTTCCCAGGCATCAATACCAGAGTGGGTTGCCACTTCCTACTCCAGGGGATCTTCCCGACCCAGGTCTCAAACCTATGTCTCCTGCATTGGCAGGCAGATTCTTTACCACTGAGCCACGTGGGAAGTTCCTTTTGGAGGTTAAGTAAAGGAAAAAAAGTCTAAAGTTTTGTTTTGAGTGAAACATACATTAACACCCACTAGAGAAATGGAAGGCATTGATCCCATGCCTTGATACCAGGCATTGATGCACTGCCACGGAAGCCTGTGGCAGAAAGATAGCTGCAAAGAGTGAGACTGTTGCACTTGAGGGTTTTCTTTCTCTGATTAAAAACACTCCCAAGACAAACATCATAATGATAATGCTTATATGTGGAATCTTAAAAAAAAAAAGGCACAAATGAACTTATCTACAGAGCAGAAACAGAGTCACAGATGTAGAAAACAAACCTATAGCCAGCAAGGAGGGGAAGCGGGGGAGGGATAGATTGTAAGGCTAGTATTGACAGATACACACCACCACACCCAAGAGGGAAAGAAAGGGAAAGTCGCTCAGTCGTCTCTGGCTCTTTGCGACTGTATAGTCCCTGGAATTCTCCAGGCCAGAATACTGGAGCGGGTAGCCTTTCCCTTCTCCAGGGGCTCTTCCTGACCCAGGGGTCGAACCCAGGTCTCCCGCATTGCAGGTGGATCCTTTACCAGCTGAGCCCCAAGGGGAGCCCAAGAATACAGGAGTGGGTAGCCTATCCCTTCTCTGGCAGATCTTCCCAAACCAGGAATCAAACCACGGTCTCCTGCATTGCAGGAGGAGTCTTAACCAACTGAGCTATCAGGGAAGCCACATATAAAGCGGGTACTAGTAAGGACCTATGGTATAGGACAGGGCACTCAACTCAATACCCTGTAATAATCTGTATGGGAAAGGAATCCGAAAAAGAACAGATGATACCGCTGGCTCCCTGGTAGAGAATCCGCCTGAAATGCAGGAGACGTGGGAGACTCGGGTTCCATCCCTGAGTCTGAAGATCCCCCGGAGGAGGAAATGGCAACCCACTCCAGTATTCCTGCCTGGAGAATCCCATAGACAGAGGAGCCTGGCGGGCTACAGTCCACGGGGTTGCAGAGAGTCGGACACGACTGAAGTGACAGACCACATACCGCACGTGCATACACGAGTCACTTTGCTATGCAGCAGAAACTAACACAACACTGTAAATGAACTACACTCCAACAAAATTTAAAGAAAAAACAACCAACACTCTATGTCTCTCCTCTCCTACTATGAGAAATTGGAACTTTAAAAAAAAATACTTATTTTAATCGCAGGCTAATTACTTTACGATATTGTGGTGGTTTTTGCCATACATTGACATGAATCAGCCATGGGTGTAGATGTGTTCCCCATCCTGAACCCCCCTCCAACCTCCCTCCCCATCCCACCCCTCTGGGTCATCCCAGAGCACCAGCCCCGAGTACCCCGTCTCATGCATCGAACCTGGACTGGGGATCTGTTTCACCTATGATGATATACATATTTCAAAGCTACGCTCTCAAATCATCCCACCCTCGGCTTCTCCCATAGAGTCCACAAGTGTGTTCTGTACATCTGTGTCTCTCTTGCTGCCTTGCATATAGGCTAGTCCTTACTTGCTCATATAATTTGGGTGAGCACTCTTGAGAGGCCCGATGTCCCTCAGGCTTTTTCTTTCTTTCTTTTTCGGTGGTGCCTTTTGGTGTCACTAAAACCCTCATAAGGTAATTATAGCCCTGCCGCTGAGTGCCCGTCCAGCACCCACCCTGAATGATCCATCACACGCTGTGCCAAAGTCCACAGAACTGAAAATACTCCATTATCGTTAAGTTAAAAATAAGAACAAAAGACAGAATTGGCTCGCTTTCAAAGCCTGCTTGCTACTTGCCATGAGAGGAACAGGGTAGACAGACAATTCTATCTGGAAGCTGCGTGTGCTCTGAATACCGTTTCTATGCTGAAATGGCAGGTATTGTGACATTTCCACAAAGACTCAGTCCTTAAGACTGCAAGTGAAAGTTGCTGAGTCGTGCCTGACTCTCTGCGACCCCACGGACTGTATCCATGAGATTCTCCAGACCAGAACACTGGAGTGGGGAGCCGTTCCCTTCTCCAGGGGATCTTCACAACCCAGGGATCGAACCTGGGCCTCCCGCCTTGCAGGCGGATTCTTTACCAGCTGAGCCACAGGGGAAGCCCGTCCTTAAGACTATGAGATCCTAAAGAGGTGGAACGGAAGCAAGGGATGAGGAGAAAGGAGGAGCGCAGAGGACTGGAGCATGAAAAACTCTGGGCTAAAAATTCTGAGGTTGAAATTGACCCCACCTCTCTCCATCACCTTTATGTCCACATGGAGATAAGGCCTTTCCATGAAGGTTCAAGACTGGCAACGGATCTCCTTTTCTCCCAATCAATCTCTACCTCGCTCTTTTATTCTTTTACAGAAAATCTTTTCTTTTTATACTGCAGTACAGTCAGTGAGCAATGCTGTGATAGTTTGCAGGTGAACACTGCAGGACCACAGCCACACAGCTGTGTGTCCACGTCCATCGCAGACTCCCTGACCATCCCTTCCCCCGTCCTTCCCCCTGGGGACCATCAGGTTATTACAGGGTATTGAGCAGAGTTCCCTGGGCTGTCCAGCGGGTCCTTGCTGGTTCTCCACGTTAAATCCAGCCGTGTGTCCATGTCCATCCCAGACTCCCTGACTTTCCCTTCCCCCAGGAAACCATAAGCTAAGGCTGTGGATCTGTTTCTGTTTTGTAAGGAAATTCATTTGTGTCATTTCTTTCTATAACACATTCCACATACAAGGCATGCCATAGGATATTTCTCCTTTTCTGTCTGACTTACCTCACTAAGTATGAGAATCCCCAGGTCCACCCATGTTGCTGCAAATGGCATTATTCTACCTCTGTTTCTGGAAGCTGTGTGTCAACCTATGCCCACAAAACTCAGCACTTAAGAACACACAAGGAGGTACAACCATTTTCTTAGGATCAGTATCTCATGACTAAACTGGGCCTTGATCCTACAAAGGGGGACTTAATGATAAAAAGAAGTCTCCAAGTCTCAGAAACTTCCTTTCTTACTTCCAAGCAATAGATTTAAGTTGTTTTTTCTTTAAAGGAGAGAAGCAAGGTCTGTTTTGCAACCTTCTTTTTCTGTGCAATGCAGAGAGAGGTCTCATTTTTAATTTTTTTTTATATCCTGCATCTAACATGCTCTTTCCTGGAAGCAGGTAATAAATCACACGGTGATGGAAACCACCGCTGAACACTGCTGCAGAAATATGGCTTGTCAAAAAAAGGCTCATTTCTGCCATGAAAAATGGAAAGTGATTCTACTGAGCTAAACTTTTAAACAGTGTCTGAGCTATCAAAATAGTTGGGATGGCTGGAATGGAAATGTTCCTACAACGTCACGTTTTGTGGCAGAGTGGCCCGTACACTCTCAAAATCACACACCAGCATCGCCATTCTGTTCAGTTCAGTTCAGTTGCTCGGTCGTATCTGACTCTTTGTGACCCCATGGACTGCAGCACGCCAGGCCTCCCTGTCCATCACCAACTCCCGGAGTCTACTAGGGAAGCCTAGCTGTATGTACATCCCCTCTTTTTTGGATTTCCTTCCCACTCAGGAAACCAAACAGCGTCAAGTAGAGTTCCCTGCATTATACAGTAGGCTCCCGTGACTTATCTCTTTTACACACAGCACCAGTGGTGGAGGGGCTTCCCAGGTGGCTAAATGGTAAAGAAGCCACCTGCCAATGTAGG